GTGCAACCCCCCCCCCCCCCCACCCACATTTACTCACCCTTATATCATTCCAAATCTGGCAAAATTATTCGACCTCGTTGACTTTCATTGTATGGCAAAAAAAAAAATTCCAGAAGAAAGTACATCGTACGGAAAAATTTTGACATAATTTACATGCTGTTTCAAACCTGTATTTCTTTTTTCTGCTGAGCACAAAAGAAGATATTTTGAAAAATGTTGGCTGCTAAACTGTTCAGAGGAAACAAATGCATAAAATACAAAAAAATAAAAAAATACAGTGGAAATCACTGGGAACCAAAACTCTTTGGTTATAAACACTCTTGAAAATATCTTGTGTTCAGCAGAAGAAACAACTGCATACAGGTTTGGAACAACATGAGAGTGAGTAAATGATGAGAGAATTTTCATTTTTGTCTCAATAAAAACACACATATGCAGATGGTAGTTTAAAGTGTTATTTTAATTCATGCTGATCTGTCTGTATGTTCTCTCCTCACGTAACTCCTTGATTTGCCCTGTACAATCTAATGTGACATGTATCCTGTACAGATGGTGCTGATTGTATGTAACCTTTGACCTCACTTTGACTTCCCAGCCCGTGCACATGCAGAAAGGAATAAATCAACAAAAACCAAATGAACTAGAAAATCTGCAGTCACATGTATGGTTCGATCCCTATAAATTAGAACTAAGTTCAGTTATCACACTTGATGTGTTTTTTTTGAGCTGTGGGCATTTCCAGGGTATATGAAAATGTATCAATCCGGCATCAATGGTGTTCTGTTCCTGCTTTTGGCAACTATAAAATGCATTTTCCCAAGTTGCCTGCTGGTTTTGAAGGATGGCATTTGAGTTGATGTATTGATGCTAGCAGATAGGATGTGCAGCACAGGTTTAATCACCCACCTCGACCAACTCTCTTTTCCTCCATTACTCTGTCTATCTCAGGGCCGTCCTTAGCTGACGCGGGGCCCGGTGCGAGGTAGGGAGCGGGGCCCCCTCGGTCCGTTCGTGGTCGAGTTCCGGGGAGGGGGGTCCCCCTCAGTCCATTTGCAGCGGGGCCCCCTCAAAGCGTGGGGCCCGGTATGACCACACCAGTTGCACCACTCAGGACGGCCCTGGTCTGTCTATACCTTTTTTTTTAGAAGACAAATCTTTAATAATGAAGTGACAATTGTAGCTTTTCATTTGATGAGTGGATGAATGAATTGAGGGTTATTGGCACATGGATAGACTGATTTCAGAAAGTGCTGCTGTCTTGCTGGTTTTCTATGTAAAAAAGCGAGTGCCTGTATTTCAGACATCTGTTTTGTCAGAGTTTTTTTGAACAGTTGGAAAACGTTGGAGAGCACTAATGAGCACTTGTGTTTATAGCGATTTTATTCTCTTTATTTATTGATTTACCTTGTTTTGTTGTTTCATGTTATTTGAAATGTGCACTTCTAATGTGTTTATACACCACCTGTTTCATAACGTTTTTGAGATTTAGTTGCTCTCAGGTAATGGTCGTACAAGGGGAAAGCTTTTAGATTAGTGACAACGCAATAATGTTCGTTTGAATTCTTTTACTTTCAAATAAAAATACTTTAAATGCAGAGAAATAAAATGTATGCGTCTTGTCTGTCGATGCCCATAACTGTCACTAGAGGGCAGTTTGTCCTCACTCATTTGTTTTCCTTCCTTATTTGCACAACCCGCCGAAGGCAATTACAAGTACAAATTTAGACTTTTTTGACTCTTTGTATGTTTCTCATGATAAAAAAAACTTTCAATCTAAGGGTCCATAATTAAATGTATCAACTGAGTTAAGAGTTCAACTGATGGTTTCAACTGAGTTATGTATTAATCTCTTAACAATTTTACTTGTAAGAAGCTTACTTTTAAGATAGTTTTGATTTATTTAACATTTTGGTAACTGCATTATTCCTCTACTGAGGAATAACTGAGGTAAATTGGCGCATTTTCTAAAATGGCGCGAAGAATGGTTGCAGGAATGAGGTAAGCAGTGGTTTGTCATATTATGTGTTTTTGATATTATGCATGATTTGGACTTGGTTTCATAGTTTTGATTAGTCAGAATGTTTCCTCCCGAATGGGTTGCATTTCTCCCATAATTGTTTGTAATTGTTTGTTTGAAGAAGTACAAGACAAAAGTGAAAAGGAGCAATTTGTTATCCCAGACAGGATGGCGGCTAACCTAATTTCAGTTCTTGCCTACTTCAGACATGCTCTCCAAATTAAGTGTCCAAAGAAAAGAAGAAAAAAAAGACCTGGGTTTTCATGGTATTGCCATGGGAACAGGACTGGAATTATTTGCTCTCGAGTATTTCTCATAAACCACGAAGATGACCTACAAAGATGAATCAGCCCAAACAGTAGCATTTAATATCCTGAAGCAGGTAGGGCATCATTTGAAGATGTTTCTTAGGTTAGACTAAATTAATGACTATTTTTGTGCACTGCAATGACTTTTGGGGCAAATCCATTAAAGCAGCACTATATAACTTTTTCTGTGTTCAAAATTTGCAAAATGTATATAATCAGCGAGTACATTATGAATTAATCTTCCAAACCGCGTTTTTGTCTTATTCCGAATCACTACGGTGCACTTATAACAAGTACTTCTATATGGACTATTGTAGCCTGGTCGGGTCGTCGCCGCTGCGGAGTAACACATACCTGCGTGAATCGCCATAGACATAAACTTAGAGAAGTAGCTCCGGTTGGAATGTTCTTGCGCGGGATGTGTGCAGTTCTGTTTATTAACCGCTAGAGCGCCAAAAGTAACATAGTGCTGCTTTAAGAAACGTTATAGGGGAAAAAATCCTCAATTATATCATGAGATGTCCATCAGCGAATGCTAATCTCTGGTCACAAGTAAGTAGCCATGTTTTGGTTCGTCCGTTTGCTTCATCTAACAAGACACAAAGTAACAAACAATTAGGAATGAGACTGTGACTAACGCCGCGTTGAGTTCTGGGAAACTGTTTTGTTTATCCGCCATACTTGCAGGATAGCGCTGCCGTTCGCTATTGAGTTTAGGGCAGTATTTGATTGTTGGTCGTGATTGTGAAAAATGTCACCGGTGTATGTCATTCATACTGCATCGATAATTGCAATAGTAACTCAGATCATCGTTCTGAGAGAAAAATGGACAATGCTATATGTTTTTTCGCCTTTTCTATGTGTAAAAACACCAAGGGAAGGAGGTCACGGAGAAGACGCGAATAGTAAATCTGTCAATGCCACTGATTAAACCCACTGACTCTCACTCAGTTGAACACACACTTTTATTTGGATAATGTACCGTATGATGACTGAGCAGCGAGCGTCCAGCGGGCGACAGTTTTCACGCTAATCGGGTAAACACTGTAAACCAAATTCTATCAAACCTAAGAGAGAAATGCAGTGCATATCATGCAGTACGATAAAATAGCTTCTCTTCCCTGCAAACGATACAATGAAGAATGAATGGTTGTTTAACTTAAAGGCAAAAACAAAACAAAAGAGAAGCATTTATCCTTATAGAGAATGAGAAGTAACCATGGGAACGGATAGCGTATCCTGCTAATATGGCGGCGCCTTCCCGAAATGCAATGCGGCGTGAAAAGATCGTGACGTAACTCCTCATTCTCTATTGCTCATCGTTTTAAATGAGGGCAAGAAGTTTAAGCTAACACAGGTGCCAAGAATCTAACCAATGTGCCCAATGAGAAAGTTTTACCTTAGTGTCCCCAGTGTTCAATGTTCCTGGCCAGCAACAGTCCTGACTCCAATAAGTTTATTCCAATTTGACTAAATAATGACAAGCTGAATCCAATCCACTGGTGGTCTAATTTGATGTAATACATCTTCGATGTTGGATTAGATCTATAATTGAGGGTTTGATGCGATTAACATTTGTTCTTGGCCAGTATTTGATTACAGCTCAATAGCATTTCGCCTTTATTAAGGGTCAGTGGAGGAAAAGGGTGATGTTTTGAATATGACAGTTCTGTCCAGCTCTTGGGCATCTAAATATTGCCTAATTATAGTAGACAGTGACGTGCATGTATGTGGCGGCTGACCAGTCTGAAGACATATGCCATATCCACTGCAGCTTGATGGTTGGCCTCTTATTATATAGAGTGGTCTATTGCATCTGTCTGTCTTCCAGTCTATTTCCGTCTCTGTGTGCCTGTCAAACGAAAATCTTTACCCTTGGACAGCGTATTAAACTCAGTAAATCCCTTGAGTCTGCCTTGAAGTATAAGAAACCTACCCTCTCTTTTCTAACTCTTTCCACTTTTTTGTCTTTGTCTTAGTAGAGCATCTGAATAATTCAAATGGTCTTTTTTTAACCAGAATTTTTTTCACTGCCTAATGTTCCTTTAAAGCATTTCCTCCATTAATTCATTTACTCATTTATTGATTTTTCACTTTCTTTTCAAGCAAAGAGGCTTCCCGGCAAAGCAGTTTGAGCCGCAAAGTCTTGTTAAGCCATTTGTCAAGCACTTCCTTCCATTAAAAGCACGTTCTTGTGGTTGCGAGCTGTTTTGATGGACAAACTGCCGGAGTCTGTAGGATTTAAGGCCAAAGTTGAATGCTGACCTGATTTATTGAAAACTGTATTTTCATGAATCTGACAAGCACATCAGCTTAATGTTTCTCTTTATGCAAAATCCACCGCATGTGTGTCAAATAAAATAAAATGACAAGACTGAAAAACAACAACAATACTTTGAGACTTTTTTGT